CCACACTCCATATGCCATTTGTGGACTCTAAACTCACACCCAAAAATCCCACAGGTACCTTGGCAGGTTTTGGGCAGTGCCCAATTCTGGGGATGCTGACATGGGCCTGACTCCTCAGTCCTGCCCAGATCAGATCTTCCTTCCTCCATTCCTACCTGTCAGGACTGAGAGATATAGAGTGGGCCACATGGTCTGAGCTAGAACATTCTTCATGGGCTCAGGACTGGAGAAAGTTGGTCAAGGCATGGGAGGAAACAGGATATACAAAGAATTGCTCAGGCAATTGCCTGTGCCCCCAAATCTGACTTCTTAATGCATCTAGGACATCCACACAATGGAACACTGTGACGCTATGCTAGGTTGGGGGAAATAATCAAGATAAGTTGTCAACAGAAAAAATAGGTTACAGAATGTATAGCATGATTTTATTTATAAATTATATACATATATAATATAGAAAGACTAACAATAAGACAGCAATCAAGGAAAAAAATGTTTGGGAAGTTTTACAGATATATAACTTTGTAACAATGGCCATGCAGTATACTATATAACTTCTACTTTTGTCCTACCTAGAAAAGATGGCTGACATTTCCCCAAAGTGTCATGAATATATTGATGAGGTCTTGATTCTGCTTCTTTTTAGGTCTTCTAACAGACGGGTTTATTTTGTATCTAAACCTGTCTTTTCAGAATGACACCTTCCAGATAATTGCTGAATCACCTGATCCTAGTAGTCTCACTTCGTAACTAACATTAGTAGGATAAAAGCTATAACATATACAAATTCTATTTGCCTCCTCAAAGTTGGTCATGACCCAATAATATCACCTACAATTAACTTCCCATGAGTTCCTAAGGTAGGTCATCTGAACTGTCTATTGGCCTTTGTTGCTGGCTGTCCTATGCTTATTCCTACATTTTGTCTTCTTTGTCTTAAAGGTAACAACTTTTAGTCATTGTATTACCTCCCAAGTACTACTATCTCAGGGCCTTACATTTGGGGTATAAAGTTTTACCCAAAATTCCACTTCTAAATATATCTTTAGATAGCCAGAAGTACACAAGATGTATACACAAGGACATTCAACCAGAAATCATTTATAATAACCAAGAATTTAAAATTATGTAATAGTAGGCAAAAGGTTTAATAAATTATGGCCCACTCTACCCTCCTCTGTTATGACACTGCACACATTAATGGATGAAGAAAGACATGCATAATCAATTTTTTAGTGAGGAAGGAAGGTTTTTGTTTGTTCATTTGTTTGTTTGTTTGCAGCCCTCACAGATTGCAAGGACCTTGTCAGCTTACAATCCTTTATTTTTTATTTTTTATGCCTACAGCACCTGGTCTTCCTAGGTGGTCTTCCAACCAAGTACTAACCAGGCCCGACTCTGCTTAGCTTCCGAGATCAGACGGGATCAGGTTTGTTCAGGGTGGCATGGCTGTAGACAAGTTTTTAAAGGATACACAATGTGGGAAGTGAATGTGAAATTAAGATAAAGGCTCTGGTGTCAGATTTTCAGGATGTGAATCTGAACTTGAGAGTTACCGATTTCTCAACACCTTAGCTTCCTCTTCAGTAAAAGAGAGTTAAGAACAGATGGGTATATTAAAGATAAAGTAAGAAAATTCATACAAAATATTGAATGTTGTAAGATATTTGCTTAACATAAGTTTTAGCTATTATTAGTGAAGATGAAGAAAATTACTGTCCCTTTCCATTTTTCTCATAATAAAATGTGTGCTTCTCAGTCTTGCTTTTTTATAATACTAACTAAAGTTTCACAGCCCAACCCTGGGCCTGCTATTCTTCCTAAATAACAAAATGAGCAAAACAGGTTCTTAAAAAGATATAGAGGAAATATTCCCTCCTCCCAGAAGCCACAAATAGAGAGATGAACTTAGGAGGCACCAAAAAACTGGCTCAGAAAATACAGTCCAATTAGGTGTCAAGCTGAGAACATTAACCAGAGGCTTGATCTTGTTCTGTGCAGATTCATGGCTTATTTGAATATTTAGAACCATAACTTTCTTATTCTACTTTCTGATATTAATGTACTAGTAGGCAAAAGGTTTAGTAAATAACTCTCCATGGAAATAGTCTTTGTAAACTAGACAGGTGTCTATTAGAGATTATTGCTAGTCTCTGTGCAAGTAATTTAAAATCGTCTAATTCTGAAAGTCTGTCTTTACTGCCCTGATAATAATTTTTAAAAACGGCATTTCTATATTCCTAAGAGTTGTAAATACTTGGTTTTCAAAAAAAGGAATCACTGACACGTCCCTCTTCTTTCTACATTCTCAAGATTAAAATAAAACCCAAGTCTGGCTTGGATTTCTTTTTCAAACTAAAGCTAGAGAGTTTTCAACCCAATAATATTACCAATTAATGTGATTTTATTCTGCAGAAACAAAATCAGACATGTAGCCTCACGGAAAAAAAAAACTCAATAAAAATATACTAAAACATTAAGAACGGTTAAGAGAATGTAATTTTGAGTTCCTTCTCTATATGTTTCCTGGATTGCTCGATTTCTTGCAACAAACTTGTATTAATTCCATAATCGAAACTATAAAGATATTTAGGAAAGGGGGATATTGCAGTCATTAGGAAAACTAAACGGCCCAACACTGAAAATCAGTGGGCCTGAAGCAAATTACACCTACCAGCTCTTGAACATCCTGTGGCGGCAGCACAGAGACACATTCACTGTCAAGATTCTCCCGTGAATGAACGCGAATTATGTAAGTCACCTTTAAAGTCTGAGAAAGAAAATACATGCCCATAAACAGTAACACAACAAAAACATATGTATTTGGTAAGAGTGGATGCTCCATAAATGTGGCTACACCTCTCCGCCTCTTGACCGAATGGCCAATTAAAACAACATCTTGGATACAATCTTTGAAAAATGTCTTTCAAAGTCTTGTCTTTTTAAATGGGATTCATATAGAGCTCATAATATTCTTAAGTACATTTGTTCATAACTATAACTATTGTTTAGTATTATATCACTTACATTTCTCCTTCTTTTGATTCTTTATGAATGCAATTTCTATTAGGTGCATTTTATTCCACCACAGGATATACTGCAATTTACATGTCAGTTAAGTAAATTGCAGTAGATAGACACTAACTTTGTACAAGTTCTGTCCCACTCTTATATCTTTATCCCAAGCCAATGGAACTAGGTCTTTTGAGGGGACATATACACTTGACAATCGCATGAAATGATAGACATTTTGCCCACTTTAAAAAATAAATTTATCAATATATACCCAAATTCTGTCTCGATTTCAAGGGGTTTGCAGTCACCTAGAAGTTCATAAATGGAATAAGAAAACCTCAGGTTAAGATTCCTGTAGTAAACCACTGGAGCATCTGGTCACTTTTTTAAACTTGCAAGCACCCATCATTATCACCTTCATATGTCAATCTATAAAAAGTTGATGGGGAAAGTTCTAGAATCACCACGTAACAGCAACTTTTAATATTTAGCGAGCCTGTATCGTGGGCAGGTACTGTTCTAAGGAGCTTTACATAGATTAACTCATCTCACATCATTATAACCCCGTAATGTACGTATTATTTTGTCCCATTTTTGTCGACGTGGCACTGAGAGCCTGCGTCATTTGTCTACAATCAGACAGCTACGAACAGGCAGAGTCAGGATTTAAATCCAGAGCCTTCTTTCAACCACAACGCAAGAGTGCCTCTCAGAAGCCACACAAAGTTGGACCTGAAACAACTCATGCCTAGCGATGTTACAGATTTCCACCTAAGTCTGAAAGTCTCTGCCCTTGTTGTGTGAACTGCAAAGCCCTGTGCTCAAAAGCTCAACCACATTCCTGCCTCCAAAGCCTCCCAACACTGAAATTTATTAATTGAAAACATGGAGACCCTTGAAATCATGGAGACCCTCCTACCTTGCCTTGCTTTAAAAATCATGACTGTGGAGAAGATAAAATATAGTTTGTACACCATACTACCTAAATTCTAATCTCCCCGAGTGATCGCAGTCTAAAATAAAGCTCCAGCATTAATCTCTAGGAGGTGTCCCTCCTATACCACCAGAATACTTAGAAAGGGAGAATGCACCGGAGGATTTGAAAATCTGCCATATGAAAAGATGGCTATTAACAATGAGGAAAAGGACAATGTGGGCCACTGGGAAGAGGGATACATCAGCATGGCAGGTCATGCACCAGAAGGAAAGAAATTTCAGACCAAGGAAAGCAAATATTCTCATGATCTAAAAACAGAAGTAATTAGGGAATTCAGGTAGCATTAATGTACTGGCTAGGTGGAAAGCCAGAGGAGAGAAGAAGGATTAGGGAGATCGGTTTATAAACGATATAAACGTCTAACCAATGTACTGTATAATCAAAACTAATGAAATTTTTTTTAAAAGTAAATATTTTTTATAAAAGTAATCGTGTGAATAAAAAAGAAACACAAACTCACCTGAATCTCGATTTCTAAATACGCAACAATTCTTTCCTTCTCCCTCCTCAGGGTCCTTCTTTGAAACTGGACAGCAGTAGGGGGAAAGAGGAATCATTTCTTGGAGTACAGACAGACTTAACTAAAAAAGGAAAAACAGAACCAAAACACCCCGAGGGCCACATGTGCCCTCATCCACACATAACCGATTAGAATTCAAAGGGAGGCTGGAATCTATCTGAGTTGACAATTCTTGGGAACAGAGGTCTGGGAGCAGTGGCTCTGAAAAAAAAAAAAATGTAGCTGGCCCCTAGGGAGTTCCCAGAGGCGCCCCTTCTAGGAATCCTACCTCTGAGACCCTCCCATCACGTCTTCCCAGGAGCCCGCCACGAGGACACTTTCAGAGGTAAAATTCTCAACCCAGAACTAGACCTGCGCTTTCTTTCTCGAAACGCTCATCCTAGGGCTTAGTACAGTATGTTTCTTGCGGTCACTTAAATTTAGCAGGTCTTAAAAGAATCTAGAGGGAACTTGAAGCCCACAGCCAAGGCAAACCACACCTACAGATAGGGCCATGCACCCCGTCACCGAGACACACCCCGGCCCTGTCTCGCCGCCTGTCACACACCATCCTTCCCAGCTACTTGTGCACACACAAGGTTGAGCCCCCGGACACAACACGCCCCGTCCGCGACTCGGGCCTCCTCACCTCAAGCGTCTCCCGGTGTCACCCCCGCCCTCCCTGCCAGTTCCAGCCCCGCTCCGGTAAAGTCGGCTGGGCCCTCCCACCCTCAACCGGCGCTGATTTCTTCCCGGGACGCGACCAACTCGCGGCGCAGAGTCCAAGAACCTTGTGCACACCGGGAAGGGACCCAGAGACCAAGGCTGGTTTGGGCCCAAAGGTTTATGGGAAAGGAGAGCCAGAAAATCCTGGGAGCCGGCGGTTCCCAGGGCTCCCCACAGGCAAAGTAGCCCAGCCCAGAAGAGACCTGTTCTCGGAGGCTTCTGGGAAATGTAGTCCAGAGCGGAAGAATCCCCGGAAACCCAGGCCTTCAGAATGATCCCAGCATGCAACTCGGGCACTCCTGTCAAAGGCACTTTTCCGAATCGCTCCTGGAGCTCTGGTCTTTGCTAGAGAGAGTAGCTCCCGGCTCGGCTGAGCCTAGCCGCTCACGTGCCTTTGGTGTGGCCGAGGACGAATTAAGAGGTTCTCAGCGAAGGCTAAGGAACGCATTCTGGAGTACAGAGCGGGCAAAGATGGGAATGGGGAATGACCAGGGACTTACGCCTCAGTAAGCGGCAAGGGGGGTAGGAAATCTCAGGTAAAGCACGTGGGAATGACCCTGAGCGGGACCACGAATTTACCTGGGTACGAGAGACTGGAGCACGGTCTGGCAGTTGAACAGATGAGTGTCTTGCTCTGAGTGAATTTGCGGGTCCCATTCGGTGTCTGGGAACCTGTGTGGAGTGCTTTATACTCATTGGATAGGTTCTGCCAGTGTGAATCTTTGTTTCCTTATGTGTAAGGTGATTTGTGTTAGATTATATGTCGCTGTTGGAAAGCAACAATAAGTGGTCATGAATGGACCATGGGGACTTGTGCAAAAAGTCTCTATAAGACAGAGACGTGAGGTCTGTAACATTGTGTATTTCTGTTAATACGTGTAACTGAAGATGACTTGATGACCCGTGAGTTTTTTTAGTAGGTTCTTCTTTTGTGTGCATACGATGGTGATTATGAAAATGGATAACTGTCCAGCTGGAATTGAAAAACAGTGTAGTTATCTAGCATTGTATGTGTTCATTTGATTATTTGAATACCAACCACTATATGAGCCTGAGAAAGTGTGACTGTGTGTTATGACAGTGATGGACAATCCAGTTTCGTTACCTATAAAATAAGTGTTATTACATCTTCTTGGAGAATCAAATTTAAGATCCAGAAAAAGTTTTGCAACTTATCTGCCAAAAGATTCAAATATTTTATAATGAATCAAAGATGTTTTATGGGAAAGAATGCAAATCAGCATAACGTTTAAAAATAAAGTAACATCCAGCCTGAGGTAGGCTTCTAGTCTTCTGTGATGTTACTCACACAGATAACTTTGAAAGCTCTAGATTAAGGAAATAACTTCTCATTTGCAGGGGCAGGTAGATTAGAGGAAAGCCTCAAATTAGGGAGTCAGATGCCCTAGGTTAAAGCTCAGGTAAAGCGAGGAATCTGTTTGAGATTACATAATTAGTCCATCAGAAAACAACTTGTCCTCTACCAAAAATGATCATTGCATTTCTTATATTCTAAATATTACAAAACCAGGCTTCCATTTCCTAGGCGTGGCCTGATTTCTCTGTTGCAGTTGGCAATTTTGAATCTAAATATCTGTAGTTTCTTCTGACTTTGCTGACTTATTTTCCCAGTCTGAAATGGTAGATAAAAATAGATGAACAGTTAATGGATGCAGTATTAGGGAAGAAGATAACATTCCTTTTCTATTAGTTTCAGAAGAAAGTTCTAAAAATTCCTGAAAAAGATAGGATTTTTTTTCTGACCTTTTGTTTCTCTTCCAAAAGTCTTTCTTTTGCTTCACCCTAACTGGCTTCATCACAGCTAAAAGTCATTAAAACACTTTCTCTGTCATAAAACTCAATGGCATTACTTTCACTAATATCACTGGAGTAACAGATCTGGAAATGAAACATGCCCATCAAAAGTAGGACAGATAATTAGTGTGGAGTACCTACCTATAAAGTGGGATGGTACACAGCAGTGAAAGCGACTGAATCTAACAACTATGAGAAAAGAGTCATAGAAATAGACAATATGATTCCATTCATAAAATTTTTAAACGAAGCAAAATAAATATTTTGTGTATACGTAGTACATAATGAAAAACAAGAACATGGTAAATAAAATTCAAGAATGTGGTAACTTCAAGAAGAAGGAAAGATGGAGAGATCTGTTTTCAAAAGGATTCAAAGTTATTTTGTGTAATCCATTTCTTAAGCCGGACTGTATTTACACAATTGTGTATTTTAAAAAAATGTTCCTCGTCAGTTATAAACCTTTTACCTAAGAAATTTTAAAAAATTGAAAAGGAATTGAAAGCAACTCTGTGATTCTGTATACATATGATTGTGTGAATATAGAGTAAGTTGTGGTATCTGTAAATCAGATTTTTAACATTGTTCTACACAAGGGGTGTGGGAGCTTGTGAAGGTGTGTACAAAGGAGAAACTGATATGTAAACAATGTCAAAAAAGGTCTGTTAAAACTGTAAAATATGTTACATACATCTCAGTTATTTACACGTTTATGTATTAGAAGGTGATTCATACTAAGAATCATTATTATCGCAAAGTAGTAGGCTTATGGGTGTTTTCACTTGATATTTTTGTATCCTGCTTGAATTTTTGACAGTCTATTTTGAATAAGTATAGCCACTCCTGCTTTCTTTTGATTACCATTTGTATGGTATCTCTGTTTCCATACTTTCACTTTCAGCCTATGTGTCTTTAAATCTAAAGTGAATCTCTTGTAGACAAAATATAGTTGGGTTGGATCTTGTTTTTTTTTTTTTTTAATTCATTCAGTCGCTCTGTCTTTTGATTGAGAAATTTAATCTATTTGTGTCTAAAGTAATAACTGACAGGGAAGGAGTTACTATTGTCATTTTGTTCACTGTTTTCTGTTTGTTGTCTAGCTTTTTTTGTCCCTCTTTTCCCCTCCTGCTGTCTTCCTTTGTGTTTCATTAATTTTTTTTTTTTTCAGCAGTGACATGCTTTGATTCCTTTATTTTCTTTTGAGCAATCTTCTATAGGTGTTTTCTTTGTGATTACCATGGGGCTTACATAAAACACAGTTATAATAATCTATATTAAGCTGATAACTTAACTACAATCATATACAAATACTCCACAAATACAATCATATACATATACTCCACACTAGTATGCCTCACACACATTTTATATTACTGACATCACAAATTACATCTTTTTATATTATGTGCCCGTTAACATTTTTATAGTTATGTTTTTATACTTGTCTTTTAACTTCTATTCGAGTTAAAAATGATTTATGCACCACTGTTAACAAATATTACAGTATTCGATGTTTGTCTATACATTAACTTTTCCAGTGAGCTTTATATTTTCATATGCTTTCATGTTGTTGTTTAACATCCTTCCATTTCAAACTTTAAGAACTTCTTCTGTAAGGCAAATCTAGTAATGATGAACTTCCTCAACTTTGTTTTTCTGGGAAAGTCTTTATTTCTCCTTTAGCGAAGGATAGTTTTACCAGATAGGTTATTGTTGATTGGCAAATTTTTCTTTCAGCTTGTTGAACATATCATCCCAGTCCCTTCTGCCCTGCAAGGCATTTGCGGAGAGTCTTATGGGTATTTCCTTGTACATGACAATATGCTTTTCTTTTGACTGCTTTCAAAATTCTCTGTCTTTGACTTTTGACAATTTGATTATGTTATAATGTATCTCACTGTGGATTGCTTTGGATTCATCCTACTGAGAGTCTATATAAGATTTCTTGCATCTTGATGTCCATTTCCTTTCCCAGATTTGGGAGGTTTTTAGCCATTATTTCTTTAAATGTGCTTTCTGCCCCTTCTGGGACTCCTAAATGCATATATTGGTCTACTTCGTGGTTTCCTGCAAGTGCCTTAGGCTTCCTTTACTCTTTTTCATATACCTCAATTTCTTTAGGTTTGACTTCTGGACATTAATTTTGTTCTTATATTTAGCCCTTGCATCTATTTCTATTTGTGTATATCATAACTTTGTGTTGCGATCCATGCATTTGAAAAAACCACCACTATTCTCAGTCTTTAGTGGACTGGCTTTGTTTAGGAGAAGATCCTCGCCAGTAAGCTTGGTTAGAGATTCTAGGGACCGGTGAAAACTTTTGGGGGGATGTGTGGGAGGAAGCAACTTCTCTGGGCCTGCGTGTGCGATTTCTCAACTAGAAAGGTTTGCCAGTTTCTTTTACAGGAGCTCAGAATCTATTGCTCCCTCTGGTGTCTATCTTTGGTACTGCATGTCCTCTGGTCTACAGCAGCAAGCGGCCCCAACTCTTTGTTCTTAGCAGTCTCCAGGTATTCAAATTATGCTGACTCCATAAGTGTTCCAAATGAATTTAGACAGAAACCAGTCCCCCAGGCAGCCCTCCAAAAAGCCAGAATTTTGGATGCACATTCCACTCTTCTCTTTCCTCTCAAGGGAGAAGTTATGAGCCAGGGCATTCTCTCCTGGCACTAAGCTGTGCTGGCATGGGGGAGGGGCTGGCGTGAGTAAAGTGGAATTGCTCTTTTTACCCATTTTAATGTAGCTGTTTTCAGCTTTGTGCTTGTAACTTCTTAACTGGATTCTGAAATTCTCATAGGCATTTTGGTCCACATGTCATTGTTAAATTAATGTTTCTGTAAGGGAACGAGGGCTGGGACTTTCTATTCTGCCATCTTGCGGACATCCCTCTGTGCTCGCTTGAATTTTTAATAAGTTCCCATATATAAGGTCATAATAAAAGCAATCTAAGTGTTTTTTCATTGAGAAAAAAATTATTATAAATACTCAACTCATAGTTGAGTATAGAGTCCTTATCTAGATTGAGGTTCCATATTTTTGGTAAGACCATTTACTAGATATGTTATTCCACCAAGAGACACACACAGACTTGTCTCTTTGTGAGAGTCTTCGTTGTTGTTCATCGAGTCTGACATCTATTGATTCAATAGGAGTTGAAAAGTGGTGATATTAAATTTCCTTCATTCCTCCCACATTTACTAGTTTTACCTTTTCCATAAAAGGAAATATTCTCTCAACTATTTGGTTAGGCACTAATGTAATTAATATAGGAAAGACAGAATAAATTCCTGATTCTTTCATTTTACCTGTCAGTCAACATATGAATCCATTTATTAACATCTTTATTTAATTTTAAACTCATTTAATTGATGTTTCAATCCATTGCAGTTATGATCTTTATTGGTACTCAAATTACCCTGCCTTGAGAGTGAGATCCTCTCTAAGGTGATTCCTGAATTTTGTTTCATTTTGGTTGTTTTGCATGATACAAATAATGTTTTATATCACTTGGTTTTGCAAGACATTCCAGGGTTATCTTTTAAATTTCTTGCCACAGATCTAGATTCAGACATATCTTAAAGTTCCTTTTAATGAAAAGTAGTATGTAAAGCCCACTGTCTGAGTGATAGGGGTACTTATTGTTATTGGATTGGTGTTTTCAGTGAACAGTGAAATATTTTTAATTAAGTGCTTTTTATTGCTCTTGTATGCTGCTACATTGCTGAATTTGTTTATTAGATCTAATAGTTTTTTGGAAGATTCCTTAAGATTTTCTGTATATGTGGTCATGTCATCCACAGAGATAGTCTACTTTTTCTTTTTCAATTTAGATGATTTCTATTTCTATTTTCTATTTCGTTTATTTCTGCTTTAATCTTTAGTATTTCCTTCCTCCTGCTTGCTTTGGCTTCAGTTTCCTCTTCTTTTTCCATTTTCTTAAAGTGGAAGTTTAGGTTATTGATTCATGCTCCTTCTTTTTTAAATGTAGGCATTTATAGCTACAAATTTCTCCATAAGCATTGCTTTAGCTATATCCCATAACTTTTGGCATGTTGTGTTTTTGTTTTCATTTATCTTAAAGTGCTTTCTAATTTCTTTTGTCATTTATTTTTTGCCCCATTGGTTATATGTGTGTTTAATTTCTATATATGTGTGAGTTTCCTAAATTTCCTTCTAGTACCTATTTCTGATTTTATCCCATTGTAGTCAAAGAATATTATACTATTTCAGTCCTTTAAAATTTATTGAAACTCATTTCATTGCCTAACTTATGGTGTATGCTTGAGAATTTTCCATGTGCAATGTTAAACAATTGCTAATGACTATTTCCAACAACACCCCTGGGAAAAGGCTGTTTTACACTGGGCGAGCTCTGAGTCTGGTCAAATAAAGACAGCCTGTAAGTGGGATCTTACAGAGGATCACCAGTCAGGTCAAATAACAACGAATTTTCTGGGAATGGGCTTTTAAGGAGCTCCAACCCCACTATGCCCCCTCTACTGGCTGCCAGATTGAGATTGTGGACTGTTAGTTTTCAAGGCCAGTTTGGGGCTTGGGAGGGAAAGAATCAGAAAAGGAATGTGAAAATGCCACAAAACTGATTGTTCTTACCAAGATTCTGCTCTTTTTCTTGAATAAATACTCCTCAGGTTGCTGAAAGCCTTTAGTTTCCAGAACTCTGAAAAAAAATTGATTCTGTTACTTTTGCTAGTGTTCTCACCACTTTTACAAAGGAAAAGATGTTTGGAGGTCCTTACTCTGCGACCTTCATTGATGTTCCTCTAAGTGTATCTTCAAGTTCAGTGCCTACTGGTCATTAGCTGATCCATATGAAAGAAAGAAGTGATGTTCCATTAAGGTTATTATATTGGCCCTGCCATTTCATTAGGATAATGCCAAGTATCAATAGAAGTAAATCTTTTTTTCTTGAGTTGGGCAGTTTCTGCAGAGGGGAAAGCCCATATTGGCTGCATTGGAAGGCAATATTCAAAGAGAAAATGACAAGTGCACTTAAGAAATTAAATCATAAGACTGAAATCTCAGATTGAAAAATTACCAGGGTAAGTTTCAGATGAATCTACAGTGAGACTCACAATCATTGAGTATTGAGTGCTTTAAAACTGTTGAATGAGCGAGAGCTGTTTGTAAAGGGCTATCTGAAAATTTTCTTTTTACCACAACTGACAAGGTAAATTCTGAAGATTGGAGCATTACAGCTGACGAGCACGAAGGGGCTGAAAGCTGGAAAACAAGCACTGATGTTCACCAGTCGCCTGCTTGGGTTGACAAAGCAAGTCATGTTAAGTGATAAGATGGAGGAGAGAGAATAAAAGGAAACAAATGAGCTCACCAGAAGCAGGACAGTGTGAGTGGCAGTGGTCTCCGGGAAGGCTCTTGAGAGAGAGACTGGTGTGGTGAATATATTGGACTCTCTGCTTATGTCTTTGCAGGAAGATCACCGTGGAGCCACTGGCCCAACCCATGAGTCCCAAACACAAAAGATCAAGGAAGGAAAACAGGAGTGCATAGATGGTTGTTTTGCATGATACAAATAATGTTTTATATCGCTTGGTTTTGCAAGACATTCCAGGGTGAGGTCTCAAATGAATCAGATCCTTTTGCAGAACACAATCCAAAATCCCTTTCTGTAATGTTTAGAGTATTTCCTGAAGGAGTCACTTGCATTGGCACAACGATATTTATCAGGAGATGAAGAATCCAACAGAGGGAACAGGAGGGTTGAACAAATTTAGGAGCTTTAACTTTGAGTTCTGCCCACCTGGAATACTAGGGCTGATTGTGATAGCCTGGAAGCTACTCAAGAGGCAGAGGGAGCAGAGAGAACCCCCCACCCCGACCCCTTTTATATCTTTGAGTATAAAAGCTAACCTTACACTCGACTTCTCCCAGGAAATGTTTAAAACCAAAAGTATCCAGTGTCTGAGGGATTCCCCTGGAGAAAAGGACCAGGGAATTGGCTACAGCCAATTGGTTGAGCATTATATCTGTGGGTTTCTGAGTATGCTTAGTGAAAAAAGTCCATATATAAAGACAAATGAGTAAGAAATTTCCCAAGAGCCCTACTCCAGTCTGGAAAAGGAAGAGACTCCCCATTACTGACTCACCAGAAGCCATAATGTTAACGACGAGTTTATTTTATTCGAAGCCAGATGATCTAGAGAGAGAGAGAATGTCTATTATTTTCCTTAGTGTGGCAAATGCAAAGTAACAAATTTTACCTTTTTCATATTTGCAAAATCCTATTATTAGATATACAAATACTGATTCAAACTACTTTGGTAGAGCAAATTAGTTCTCTTCCAAGTTGCATATGATTTGCTAGCATTTTGTTTAGGGTGCGTGGATGCAGATTTATGGGTAACATTTTTCTACAGATAAACTATACGATGGCAGAAAATGGGCAGTTTATGGCCCCAATATTTCTCTTCTTTTTCCCCACTCTGTAGTTGAAATTTTAGATTATATGCCAACTTTTCAACAACCCGGAGATTCTGTTTCTCTTTAAAAGTTAGAAATGCTACTCCAATAAACTTAATTAAAATTTTAAATGAATGAATGAATGAATGAATGTTAGAAATGCTATGGCCCTGGCCAGTGTTTCATGATAAATAGTTGATGCAGCTAGGTAATATCAACTCTGTTGACTAGGCAGACACCCTCTAACTCATCAAAGTCTCCACAAAACCATTAATGGCTTCAACCTGTAGGATTCTGAACATGACAACTGCCTTTTTTGTACATAAAAAGAAAGCTCTAGGAAATAGAAGGAGACAAGATGGAGTTTAACAGATTCCTAGCTGAAAATGTCGCTCAGTTCACAAAAATAAAATATAGAGAATTTAAATAACATTATCAGCCTGCCTAATTTAATAGATTTGAGGGAATAATTAGAAACCGTGAAAACCCATTTTGAAAACCATTTTGAAAAACATGCATTTTGCCTAATTTTATTTAAGAATGTAGAAGGAAGATTGCACTGAAGATAAAAGAATAATGAAATAGAAATAAAAGCAACTCTATACTTGATTTGAAATATAAAACATATAAAGGAGACTAGTATTTGTAAATATGGCCAGACAAAAGGGGAAAAATGAACACCTTTATAATGGTAAAAGTATTACTATAGGTATAAAAAGACTTTAAACATCATAAGAAGATATTATGTGCACAAGCTTGAGACATATTTGTTGATGGGTGCAGAAGAGCAAGCATAATTCTGGAGAGAGAACTTTAATATTCTACCCTTGCTGCTCCCCTATATTGTATTTAGAGGATATTTACTGGCCCAATGTCCACAGCACTAGATAACCATATTCCAGGTAACACAGCATGGAGCGGGTTATCAGGCAGATTAAAAGCCTTACTGAGTTGAGAAAATGATGAAAACATGTAGGATTACCAACTCTCCCCAGACACTCACTCTTCTCTTTTTCCACCCAATCCCAGAATGGCAGATTATAGAAATAGTGTAGAATTGACAACTTTAATATGTTTAGTCTTTCATTATGTGAGTATGGTATATCTTTCCATTTATTTAGGTCTTCTTTGATTTCTTTTAAAATTTTTTTCAATTACCGTTGACATGCAATGTTATATCAGTTTTAGGTGTACAACATAGTGATTAGACATTTATATGTCTTATGCAGTGATCCCCTCCGAGAAACATATTCGTCACGATGTTATTGACTATATTCCCTACGCTGTACTTTACATCCTCGTAACTGTTTCTCTAACTGGCAATTTGTACTTCTTAATTGCTTCTTTTTAAAAAAAATTTTTATTAGTTTCAAGTATACAGCACATTGGTTAGAGATTTATATAGTTAATAAAACGATCCTCCTAATTGCTTTCTCTCCTCTGGCTCCACCTAGCCATTACATTGATGCTAATTGCATTCCCTATGCAGTGCTCCCAATCTCCGTGACCATCTATTGACTGCTGATCTGTACTTCTTTAACCCTTCACCTCATTCCCCCAACCCCTGTGGCCATCACCAGATTGTCCTCTATATTTGTGAGTCTGTTTTTGATTAGTTTCTTTAGTATTTAAAGCAGAGTCCCTAGTCAGGGAAGTTTTCTATAGGGGGTGGCAATGGATAGGGTGATCTATAGTGTTCTGTGGGGCCTGGGCTTTCCAACCTGCAGCTCTTCTGCTCTCCTCTCGTTAGACTCAACAAAGGCACAAACTAGAGCCCTGTGGTGACCTTTCTACAAGAGACATTACCAGTCAGGGCTGGGAAAATACATGCTCACAGACTGACAGATTTAAGGGAGGGAGTGAAACTTCTCTGATAATAAAACTTGATATACTTTTAATTTCTTTGAACCACCTCAGTGTTCTATATTTTCCAAAAATAAAATAAAATCGCCAGGGATGGGAAAGGATAAAAAACTAAAATGGAAATAAATGAACCCAATTGTATTTCAATGATTATCATAACCACAATGAAGAAAGAAAAAAAAAAAACTGAACCCTCAGTCTTAGGTAACTGCAAACCATCTGCAAGCAAATCCTAAACTCTTTTTAATAGATTTGTTTTCTGTGGTCTTATGGATGAGGCAATTCTGAAACCATTTTAAATGTTTTACTGCAATGAACAAATGAATAAATGTGTTAATGCTGGGAGCCAGTGTCTCTTCTTCCACCCTGAGGAAGAAGAGACAGAGAAATATTGAATGGGAAAAGGCAAACTGTACCCTATGGAGTCTCATTAGATCTTCTTTTCACTCTAAATGGATCTAGTTTGGAAAATATCCATTCATGTTAAGCATAAACTCTGGGAGTCAGGGTATGAGAGAGGTGTCATTGGCTCATCCATTTGTGTCAAATACATAAAATCAAGGGAGAAAAGCACTGTTCTAAATATAGTACTTTATGTGTCTTAACTTATTAATGTCTCTTTAAAAATAATGGAAGCCGGGATGGGCGCACCAGCCAGGTACAAAGGGATCCCCCACCTCAATCGGCCTTCCAGGAGTGCGGCATCTGGACACCAAAGCAGACTCTGTGATAAGCCCACGGGATCCTACACGTTATGGCCAGTGAACATTAATAACTAGAAAGAGGTATAGTGTGGAGACAGAGAACTAGGCATGAGATAATGAGAAATAAATGTGGAATAAGAATTTAAGCATCCAGATATTTTGGAGCCAATTATCTTTTATTAAAAAAGAGCACTACAGGGTGGCTCCATAGTGCAGTGGTTAGCATGTCTGCTTTACATGCAGAAGGTCCTGGGTTCACGCCCCAGGTGGAGCCACGGACCATTCCGCGGGTGTACCAGGCCCCGGGGTGCACGCCGCGAGCGTGTGGGAGGAGACGCCCAGCCTTCAGAGATCCAGTTCTTAAGGGGAAATGGCAACATCCATAGATCAGGGGTGGAAGTGGAGAAGGGGGTTGTTGGGGGGGATAAATAAATAAATAAGAGCACTATATATAAAGGCAAGAAAGGAGAAATGAGTCAGTCATTAAAGGGGAAATAGCAGAAAGTTAGATACTCAGACAAATAAGAAAGTCCCGAGGTAAGGAAGGTTTTTCCTTCTTCAGGCCTTGGCCTCTGGCCAGATGAGAAGCAAGGTGGCAACCTTCATGTAGTCTCTGCAGATAGCAACAACTACTGTTAAAAATAACCCTACATTCAATCCGCTCTTTGCCGGGCACTGCCCTGGTATGGCACATCTGCTCACTGGTGCATTTCACCTCCTCTCTGGCACCAAGGGCAGGGTGGGGTCAGACCTGGGCCTATGAGAGGGAACCTTCCTAAATTGGAGCTCCAAACTCAGGGTATTCTGTCTTGATGCCAGGGCCCATTCTATGACTCAGGCTCAGCTCCAACGTGGTCAGTGGGTAGCTTTATATCCATTATGGGTTCTGGGAAATAAATTTGGGAATATGTCTCTCCTTAAGAGACTCAGCATGAACAATTACATCCCTTTCCTGTGGTCTAAGAAGAACTTGAGAAGGAGGAGAAGAGGGTTTATGCCTCTTGCTCATACCACTCAAAGGGATAACTCTATAAATGTTTTTCCAAAGCCAAACGCGACCACGGAGAAAACAAAAAATGAACCCACCCTTTCTTTGTCCATGCTCAACGCCAGACATATATATGATTTTGTTTTTTCCCTATAATATTCCTCCAGTGGAGGTGCTGTGGACCCCAATTTTAGAGAAGAGATTTAAAAGGTTGGAAGGGAAAGGAGGAGAATTCTGACAAGTTTAATAGTGAGAAATGATGGATGGGACGTCTCAAGAAGCCAAGAAGAAAAAGGATAGGAAGAGAGAGAGGATAACTGCACGAAAATCACGAGAGTCACAGATTTCTCTACCATTAAAGTTCCAACACCGAAAGTCATTTTTTTCCTGACACTTTCTAAAAAGAGAAAAAAAGAAAAACATACCCAGCAGAACTCTGATACCTGGATGGTGAGCCTGTCACTGCCAGGGTTTACATCTGTGGGTGTGAGCTTTCCCTTTGCCTATTAGCCCCACGAGTTAAGAGGAGACACCATGATCTCATTTCCCACCAGTGCAGCCATTATAATGTCACTGGTAGCAATGACAGTGTCTTCAGGGGGAACTGAGAATATCCCTGAGAAACTGTTGGCCCAGGTTAAAATAATAATAACAGTAATGATAATAACATGAGTAATTACTAGCCCTTGATGAGAAAAATCCAGAGACCAACATACCTTGCAAAGAAACTGTCCTGTGACGTGACATGACATGTCTCAAGGGTGGAGCACAGAATTGCATGGCTTGTGTGCAGAACCTGTGAAGGTAGCATATCAGTGACTAACTTGCGTGTCCCCATGCTGACATTTTCATCAGCCACTTTCTCTCCTTCTGACTCCACACCCTGATGACATCTGTTTATAGCCAGACAGCTGAAGCAAACTTGATTTTTCAGCAGCCAGGGATTCCCTTTGTCTATTAGCCTCACGGAGACCTCTTGCTTTCCCATTGCTGAAAGTGATTACTTTAAAAGTCCAGCTCTTGAGATAAATGCTGGATGTCTAGCATTTATTGGACCACTAGATTTCATCATCTGTAAAGCACTGGTCTCTGCACTGAGGATAGAGCAGGAGTTGACATGCTTTTCCTGGAAAGGGACAGATAATAAGTATTTGCAACAGGTTCTCTGTTGCAAATATTCGATTCTGCCATGGCGGTGGGACAGCAGCCACAGACAACACGGAAACAGTCCAGTGTAGCTGTGTCCCAATAAAACTTTATGTAGACAGTGGAATTTGAAATTTATAATTTTCAACTGCCCATACATATTGTTCATCTCTCTCTTGTCAACCACTTAAAAATGTAAAAACCATTCTTCCTTTTAGCTGACTAGCCTTACAAAACAGGCGGCAGATCAGATTTGGCATGTGGACCACAGTTTTTTGACCCCTGCTATTGATGAATAATCAAAATCAAGATTTTTGCTCTAATGGACATTATATTTGACCAGTGGACACATATAATAATTGGCATATTAAAAACATAAAATTACACATCGTGATGAATGATAAGAAAAAGGGTTGTTGGGGTTTTTTTTGAGAAGCAGTGTAGAATGACTATCATTTAAATATGGATTAAAGGAAGGCCTGTACGTCAATAATTAAGCTGCAGCTTGAAAGACTGAGAATAAATCCTTAGGCAAAGACAGGGAGAAGGGAATTCCCAGCACTGCAAAGTCCCCAAGAAGGGAAGGTGCTTGGAGACCGAGAGGAACCGGAAGAGGGTTAGAGGTGCGAAAGCATCACTGCCTGTGTTTACCTCATCACCCCTTCACGAAGGCTTAGTACTGATTTCAATGTCATTCGGCTGGATGCCCTCCCCAAGAGGTCTCTTAGACAGCTGAGGTGGTTGGCATAATTGCTAAGCCCCTGAAAGTCTGCGATTGTCTTTTTCCTTTACACATAAAGAATATTTTGCCCAGTGTGGCAGTCACTAGTGCTGTCCTGCCCAACAGCCATCTCTTTGATGACAGAATGGCAGTTTTGATCCAGCAGCCCAGGTGCTGGGGGTGGGAGGGGTGAATCACGATTGGTCGAAGAAAAGTAGATGAGTGCTCACCATGTGCTAGATCCACTGAAACGTGACTCATGTGAATTATATAATTGAAATCAAAAAAGCCCTTCTTGTGGTAATACTATTCTCCAGGTTTATACCAGTGCAAATTTTTAAAACTTTCCCATGGTCCCTCATCTGTTAAAATGGTAAGACAAGGATCTGACCTGAGATGGTGTGTTTCAGTGTCGCGGGGCTTCATCACCACTCTATTAAAAAATCTGGATGGTAGGAGTTATTATTCTATTTACTGGTGAGAAAACTAAGTTGAAAGATGATTATTCATGTGCTAATATTAGCCAGAGTTTAGTTTTAGAATATACTTCTAAAATACTTAAAATTTCAATGTTTATTCTTGTGTATCCCCACCCCACCCCCAAATTATAGTCACATCTGGCATACTCTCATGTAGCTAGTATTTTTCATTTCTTAATATCTTATGCATAGTCTTCCACATAAGGCAGGGTAATTCTATATTATCATTTTAATGACTCCTGGTTATTTTATAAATTATCAAATTTAATTTACCTGCATATTTTCATTTTATCTTTGGGTTGTTCTCAATTATAACTAATATAAATATTCTTGTAGAAAATATTTTATGTATTTTTTTACTGTTTCAATTATTTTCATCAAATATAGTTCTAGAAATGGATTACTAATATACTTGTATTAGTTTATATAAAGTAACTCATAAAAGTTGTAAATTATCTCCCACTAGAATTTATTATATTTCCTTAAAATCTACAACATTGGGTATTATTTTTTCACATTTCCCAATCCTTACCAATAATGACATTTTATTTTTATAATATTTCCATGTTTTACTTGTCATAAACTTGGACATGTTTTCAAATATTAGTCATTTTCAATTTTTCCTCTGAGTTTCTATTCATACCCTCAGCTCATTTCTATACATGGTTGTGTTCATCTACGTATTGTTTTAAATTAATTTAAACGGATTGATGGTTCTCCTGGTCTAGACCAGATTGGCTGAGGTTTCTCATTATGTTTCTCATACTTGAAATAATTTCCCTTAGTTTATTTGTTCTTTACATTTGGAGCTAAGAAATTTTATTGAAACACCCTTTGTATTTTCTGGAATTTAACTATTCACCTCATGATTTGTACTTTAGTGTCGTGATTACTCACCAAGATTACAATAAAATCAGTTTGTATTTTGATAAGTACTCTGGTGGCCGATTTTTAAGTTATAAATATTTTGAACTCTATTTGTTTTCATGCATGAGAGATGGATGTTACTCTTCCAGGTTAACCAATTATCAAACATAATTCACATACCGTACAGTTCACCCAATAAAATGTACAATTTAGTGGTTTTTAGAATATTTGCAGAGTTGTACACTCAATATCATAATCGATTTGAAAAGTTCTATCACCTCAAAAAGAAACCCTGTACCCATCAGCAGTCACGCCCCATTTCCTACCACCTCTCACCTACTTCCAGTCCTAGGCAACCACTAATTTATTTTCTGTCTCTATAGATTTGCCTACTCTGGACATGTCATATAAATAAAATCATACAATATGTGGCTTTTTATGATTGGCTTCTTTTACTTAGCATAATATTTTCAAAGTTCATTCATGTTATAGCATGTATCAGTACTTCACTCATTTTTATTACCAAATAATATTCCATTGTACAGATTTACGATATTTTTAATATTTATTAGTTGATGGACATTTTGATGTTTCCACTTTATGACTTTTATGAATACTACTTCTATAAAATTCACATATAAGTTTTCACGTGGATGTGTTTTCATTTCTCCTGGGTATATACTTAAGAGTGGTCCTATGGGAACTCTTTTGAAGAACTGCCAGACTGTTTCCCACAGCAACTGCACCATTTTACATTCCTAAGAGCCACGTGTGAGTGTTCCAATTTCTCCACGTTCTCACTAACACTTATTATTCTTTTTCATTATAGCTATCCTAGTGGGTGTGAAGTGATATCCCATTGATCAGAGGCAGCCATACCGGCTAAGGCATTTCTCTACACCAGTCATCCTAACAACTGCCAGGTAGGTGACAGAAGCCATCCTAGATCATCCAACCTCAGCCAAGCTGGACTAGACCAGGAGAACCATCAATCTGTTTACAAAATCATGAGAAGTCATGAAGAGTTGTTGTTTTAAGCCAGTAAGTTTTGGTGTAGTTTGCTATGCCTCAAACTTTTAACTGATACAATACAATGTATAATTGTCCATACATTCCCTCTGTAACCTGGCATTCCCTGACCAAGAAAAAGACTGAGGAAGCTCAGATCCTTGCCACATTGGAGAGAAGTATGGACTGGGATCCTCATGTTAAGGGAGGGCTGGATTGACTGATGCCCCATGGAGCTTCTGAACCCACTCATTACTCCTCACACACCAGTTCCTCTGGGACTGAGGACTTGCACTTGCTTCTAAAGCTGGAGAAGATAGGCAAGTCCGAAAGTTTCTCTGGGAAAATCATTCCATAAGGTAGGTTTGTCATAATGGATTTGGTCCATGATGTGTTTAAGAAATAGTCATTCAGAGCACCGCTTTTCAAGGTTTTTAGTTCTCTATTTCAATTTAGGCTTCATCTTCTTGTCCTCTGGGATTGGCTATGTAGAAAAGCAGGAACGACCTAAATGTTCAACATTAAGAAATCAGTTGGTACAACTTAACATCCAAACAGTACGGAAGGTTTGAATGGTGGAAGAAAGTCTGTAATCTGTGCAAATATGATCTGAGAAGCTCTGCAGCAAAGTGTTGACAGTGTTGGCCCATGGCTCTGTGGAATAATGGGTATTTTCCTGTTGTTTTAATTGCTTTATCTTCTTATTTTATGTACTCAATACATTGCTTTTGTAGTTACGAAATAAAAGATACATTTTACAAAAATACTTCTGTTGGGATTTTAAGTTGATCTAACTGATTTCACATTGCTCGATGTCACAATTCCTCATTTTTTGGCTTTTAGTTACCCAAATAATTGCTTTTTCTAATGTTTTTCAATGAGAAGATAAAACAGTAAAGCGTGAAGTCTTTTAAGTTAAAGTGGTTGAGTATTTCAAGAAAGAATAAGTGGCTGAGAGAGTTGAAAGCAGCAGAAAATCTTTCAAAATAAAATATTTTGGATTTAGGATTATTGAGTTAATTGTAGTAGTTTTTAAATATTCAATCAACAGAAAGTATACAAAAAAGAAATGACTCTCCTCCTACTAATTCTTTCTCTACAGAAGTTACCAAAGTTAATATTTTTAAGGTGTTTTCCAGATTTTTCTGTACACTGAATATGTATATGATCTGTTTTATATATAAATGAGATTATGCTATGTATACTGCTCTGCTCTTAACATTTTTCACTTGAACAAATTCCTCTACTTTATTTTATGTCAGTTATAGAGATTTAACTCATTCTTTTTTAATGTTGAATTATCTAACCCAGTACTGTCCAATATAACTTTCCATGGTGTTGATAATTTTTTATATCTGCGTCGGTCAATACAATAACCACTAGTGACACTGGCTAATGAACATTTGAAATGTGACTAGAGTGACTAAGGAACTTCTATTTTTAAATTTATTTCATTTTTACTTTTAATTAAATTTTATTTAATTTTAATAACTTAAATTTTAAATAGCCACAAAGAGCTACCATATTGGTAAGCACAGACTAATAATTCCATTAAAAATAAACACTGAGGTTGATTTCAGTTTTTCAGTATTAGAAATATAGCTTTGGTAAGCATTACCTTATCCACATCTTTTTCTTTCAAGCCAGTATTTTTGTAGGCTAGATTCTTATACGTAAAAATGCCGATTGCTTAGGGGTTTGCTTTCAGACAATGTGACACCTATTACCCAACTTAATTGTAAAAAGGCTGTAGTTATTCCCCGCGACTACCTATGAGAGTTCTAATTTCCCCACATTCTCAACGATATTGTATACTATCTACATCTGTTTTTGGCATTTGATAGGTGAAAATGTGGTATGTCATTTATTTCCATTATTTATTGCCTCAGCTCCGAATGCATTCTTCAATATATGCTCTGTGATAAACAACGGAATTCCCTTAAGTAGTTCTCCTTTAAAGTGAGCACGGTAAGCTTTATCAGGAGAGGGGGCTAGAGAGACATTGCAAGAGGAAGACGTGGGAATTGGGGGCGCTCCCTCACTCCCAGACGACCAACAAAACAATAAATCAAGCTTTGCTTTGTAGTGACTGCCAATTCCAATGGTGTAAACATTCCCACCATGGCCAACGTCTACCTACCCATGTGACGTCACCGAATGCGGAGCTGGAAGGAGACAGGTAGCAGCGTATCAAGACCTTTCCCAAGCAAAGAACCGCGAGAGCCGACGCCTGCGCACTGCAAGCACCGACTACAACTCCCAGAAGGCCCCTGGGCGGGGCGGTCCCTTGTCTCCTGCTTTTCCGGCAGCGGACTACGTTTCCCACAGGCCACCGGGCCCAAACAACCAGGGATTTCTCAGGTCTCTAGAGCATGCTCATGGTACTTGGGAGCGACATGAGAGCGCGTCCCGCGGAAAGAAGTAATCCTCGCAGAGCCAGGCGGACCCGGCTTTGCGAACTTGGACCCCAGCCGGCATCGGGGGTGGGAGAGGAGAGGCGCTAGAGGCGATCGCGAGTGGCCGAGGGAGGTGACGGTAGGACAAATATGAAAGGTTGGGGTGGGCAAAAGAGTTCTCCCTGGACGTGTGCGATGGAACGGCAGATGTGGGACGGGGCCGGACTGTGTTTCCGTGGTGGTGAGGGACAGACATGGTGTAGGGGTTGTGTGTGAACACTGCGCATGATAGAGCCAAAGCTGTGTCACACTGTGCGAAACTGCATTTGCATGACTGAACCGACAGGGTTGGGGTGTCCTGTGACAGATGAGACGATGTGTGTGTGTGTGTGTGTGTGTGCGCGCGCGTGTGTAAGCAGGCTCCTGTGCACATGAAATAGCCAGGGTATGTCTTTGTGACTGTGCATAAAGTACGTTGAGTGCGCCTGTCTGCTCATGACAGAGCAGGAGTGTTTCTCCACGATCATGTGACAGACTCTGTGTTTGTGTGTGTGTGTACAACAGAGAGAAGAGAGAAAGCACTTTGTGTATGACAGGATGGGGATGAATCTGGGACTGACAGGTGTGTGTGTGTGGTGTGTGTGTGTGTGTGTGTGTGTGTGTGTGTGTATTATGACAGGACTGGAGTGTTTCTCCATGATGATGTGAATGTTGTATGGTGTGTGACAGGTCTGGGGAGCAGATCAAGACCTTTCCCAAGCAAGGAACCGCGAGCCCCGGCGCCTGCGCACTGCAAGCACTGACTACAACTCCCAGAAGCCCCCTGGGCGGGGCGGTCCCTTGGCCCTTCGGTTTCCGGTGTCTCCTGCTTTTCCGGCAGCGGACTACGTTTCCCACAGGCGACCGGGCCCAAACAACCAGGGGTTTCTGAGGTCTCTAGAGCATGCTCATGGTTCTTGGGAGCGACATGAGAGCGCGTCCCGCGGAAAGAAGTAATCCTCGCAGAGCCAGGCGGACCCGGCTTTGCGAACTTGGACCCCAGCCGGCATCGGGGGTGTGAGAGGAGAGGCGCCAGAGGCGATCGCGAGTGGCCGAGGGAGGTGACGGTGTGACAGATATGAAAGGTTGGGGTGGGCAAAAGAGTTCTCCCTGGACGTGTGCGATGGAATGGCAGATGTGGGACAGGGCTGGACTGTGTTTCTGTGGTGGTGAGGGACAGACATGGTGTAGGGGTTGTGTGTGAACACTGTGCGCGTGATAGAGCCAAAGCTGTGTCACTGTGCGAAACTACATTTGCGTGACTGAACCGGCAGGGCTGGGGTGTCCTGTGACAGATGAGACGATGTGTGTGTGTGTGTGTGTGTGTGTGCGCGCGCGCGCGTGTGTAAGCAGGCTTCTGTGCACAGGAAATAACCAGGGTATATCTTTGTGACTGTGCGTAAAATACGTTGAGTGCACCTGTCTGCTCATGACAGAGCAGAAGTGTTTCTCCACGATCATATGACAGTGTGTGTGTGTGTGTGTGTGTGTGTGTGTACAACAGAGAGAAGAGAGAAAGCACTTTGTGTATGACAGGATGGGGATGAATCTGGGACTGTGACAGAAGTGCGTGTGTGTGTGTGTATTATGACAGGACTGGAGTGAGTTTCCATGATGGTGTGAATGTTGTATGGTGTGTGACAGGTCTGGGGCGTATCTCTGATTATGTGGTACAGGTGTGTATGTGACCATGTATGCATGTGACATGTCAGCATATGTCTCTGTGACATATGACAAGCATTGTGTATGGTGGGTGGTAGCTTTTGTGCATGTGACAGTATATGAAAAGTGTCTGAAAGGAGCACCTGGGTGTGTTAAAAGCCTGGGTTTGTCTCCATAACTGTATGTGAAATACTTGTTTTGTGTGAATGTTTGTGTGCAGTGTGTGTAGAAGTAACAGGGCCAAGATATAACTATGTAACAGTCCTTATGTATATGTGAATTGTGCATGCGGTTTGACAGATTGTGTGAGCGCATCTTTAGGCAAGAGGGGGCTGGCATGTGCCTTGAACTGGAGAAAGAGGGTGTGTGTGTGTGTGTGTGTGTGTCTTTGAGCATCTGACTGGTCAGGGCATATATCTGTCTTTGGGATTATGTTGATGGACATGTGTGTGTGAGTGAGTACCTGGCACACAACAGGTCCAGAGTGTGTGTGTGACTGTACATAGCAAGTATTACATGCATATGAGCAACAAGTATGGAGTAGATGGTCTCTGTGTTACACACGTAGAGTACATGTGGGCATCTGTATGAGTATCAAGGCAGAGATGCGTCTCCATGGTATGTGACAGATTGTTTTGTGTGCGTGTAGGTACATATGACGTGGTCTTAGTGTATGTTTGTTACAGTTTGAGTTGTGAGCACATCACATGCCTAGCATGTGATGCCTAGCATGTGATGTGCTTATGTGACTAGACTGAATAGACATCCTTTAGTATGAGTATGGCTTGTGTGGCTCTGTGGTATATAACATTGATCCAAGGCTGTATGGTTATAAATGTATTATTTCCATATTCTGGAATATTATATGGCTAATTAAAAATGGCTATGACATAATGTTGAGCAATATTCAAAGTTATGATTAACAGTAGTCAAGAAATTTTAATTATTAGCGGAAGGAAACTGGACTTTGGGTGGTAAACACAATAGAATATACAGATATTAAATTATAATGTACACCTGAAAATTATATAATTGTATTAACCAATGTTACCCTCAATAAACAATTAAAAAAAAAAAGAAAAAAGAAAGTTTAATTATACATGAATGCTATTTAGTAAGAATTTCTTAGACATTTTGCAAGAATTATATATCCAAAATGACATTTTAAATGGATATTTAATGAAGAAGAGGTGGGTATAGCCACATTTATTAAGTAGCTTGTGTACCACATGTTGTTATGTTTGTTATGTTATATTGTTATGTTTGTTATGTTATGTTGTTATGTTTGTTATGTTGTTTGTTATGTTGTTTGCATACATTTACTCATTCCACCTACAAAATCGACCTACCAGAATTGGTTATTCATAGAAAATCTCGATGATGAAGTGTCCCGTTGCATTAATGAGCTACCACTAAGTGAACTTTAAAAATCTGCAGGTGTTATTTGTCTCAATCAAATGATTTTTCTGTATAGGATCTATTTGCTCACACTTCATGACTGGAAGGAAACTGTTCCCCCACATATATTTTTTAAATTTGGAAATAGCTTTAAATTTCTGATATAATATATATATTTGGTTTTTGTCCCCAGTTCCTGGCACAGTGCTCCTAAAACTCAGCTTGGAATTTACTGTCTTTTATGCTAATGAGATAACTCTTTTGGTGCAAGGATGGGCCTCTGTGGCTGCAGGATGGAGGCTGGGCACCAGAAAAAACATCCAGGTAACTGGTGGGTTATCACTTTCAGTCCCATCACCCCGCCCCAACTTCTAGAGGAGAGGTGCTAGAGGTGGAATTCAGTCACCATTGGCCAATGATTTAATCAATCATGCTTACATAATGAAACTTCCATAAAAACCCCTGACCGATGGGGTTTGATGAGCCTCTGAGCTGGTGAAGACATCCATGTGCTGGGAGGATGGTACACCCGAGCTCGACAGCGACAGGGGCTTCTGCGTTCAGGACCCTTCCAGACCTCACTCTATGTACCTGTTCATGTCTGTTCACCTGTATCCTTTAAAATAAACTGTAATAGTAAGTGGAGCACTTTCCTGAGTTCTGTGAGTTGTTCTAGCAAATTATCAAACAGGGAGAGTGGGGGAGGCTGTGGGAACCCCAAATTTGTAGTTGACTGGGCAGAAATGTGGGTCGCCTGGGAACCCTGCTGGTGGTGGCTGGCATTGGAAGTAGGGGCAGACTTGTGTGACGGAGCCCTTCAACTTGTGGGATCTGACAGTAACTCCAGGTAGATGGTGTCAGAACTGAACTGAATTGTTGAACACCCGGTTGGTTGTGATGTGGAAAAATGACACCAACATTGTAAACATCCTGTTCTCATAAGTATTAAAATATTTTTAAATGGGCATCCTGAAACTGGTAAGTTGATAGTTCTCTTTTTTCCTTAAATAGAAATTATATTTCTATTTAAATTTCCTCAAGGAACTTAATGCTGCAAAAGACTTTAATTCATCAGGCTATTATACTTTTTGCAAAATTGTATAGATATTCAACTTTTTATTGAATTTCTCATATCTAAAAATGTTTCAACTCTAAATTATTTTGTTGAGTTAGTACAGATATTAATAGTATACAATTGGGCAAAGCAATTTAAGTATATTATACATATTGATGAATGATAAACATAAAAGTATATCATAAATATAACTCAATGAAATAGATGTGTGAAGCATGTGCCTTTAATAAAGAAACATTAATTGACATGAGTATTTTGAATTGTCACTTAAATACTTACTCAGAAATTTTTATACTTTGGAGTAAAGCATTAGAGTAAGATTCTGAATGGATGAGAAGTATGGCTTTCTTTTTAAGTGAGGAAAAGGCTATTTATCTTCCAAGAGGCAAGAAGAATTGTAGGTGAAATTTCCTACAGGTCAGTGTTAACATAAAGTATATGTGGATGTTGAGAATGAATGTCGAATCCTTTAAAAACCCAGGTTGAATTTGAAGACCACTGACATAACACACACCCAACAGCTGGGAATCTGATCTATAGTTCATATCCTGCCATCCACCATTCTGCTAACAGAGGCTGCTATTATTCATTTCTAACTTAATTCCATTGTGATCAGAGGAACTACTGTATATGATTTCAATACTCTGAACTCCTTTGA